TCAGCATTGAAGAGAGTAATTTTGGGGTTAATATTCACTCTTGAGTTTTACAGAACAAATAGGCTTCCATATGTCTCTGGAGCAATATGTTTGCGATCGCCATCTGTTACTCAAGAGTAGTTTTATAGAAAAATAATGCAAATTACTTCCCTCTTTAATTACACTGGTGCTTTGCAATACTGTGTTCTGTTCTGATTTGGAAAAGTGCCAGTTTGCCAGATTCAAGGAACAGATGTTTGCTTAACCATGAACTTTAAAAACAAGATATAAAAATTAAGAGTTACATTTTTTTTTTTAATTTTCTAGAATATGGAAAACCTGTAATTGTACTATTGTATACCTTGAAATATGTTATTAAAACTTTGAGGAGCACTGTCAAAGCTGTTAAGGCTCAATGACCAAGCCGTTATGACACCTGTTCCATGAAAATACTTTGAAGCCCAGTCTCTTTTATTGCCTTAAACTGGAAAAGGCAACATTTGTGTTATATTGCATTACAGTCAAATAGATCAACTGCAATTAGGCATTGTATTTTTTTCTGACATGGGAGAATGACTAGGAAATGTTTGATACTATGGTTTACCTTTTGTCACTATATAAAAGTGGATAGCAGTTACAGTGTGATGCTGATTTAGACATTTCAAAAAAGCAGATTTTTAAAACCCTTTACGACCCCTAAATGACTGCCCTAAGAGTTTTGCCTGAATACCACAGTTGAAGCTCATCCCATAAACAGATGTTGAGTCCCAACCAAGATTCGGCAGAATTCCATTAGTCACTGAGGTGCATGTAAAGTGCATCTGTTAAAGCACTCAGTTTAAGAAAGGCACTAATATGAATAGCAAAATGCAATTACTCCCTCTATTCATATGCAATAAAGTCAACAATCTTTACATACATATTTAAAAAAATGGAAAATACTTGTGACTAGTTTACCAACACCTGCATTTAAAGAAAAAATCAGATGACATTGCTACTTCATTCCCACCCTCATTTTTACTTTCCTAAATGATAGACATCATTACTTCTAGTTTTCAAAAATCCTTTTTTCCCCTCAGTTCAAAGGTGAGACTCTTTCAGTAAAAAGAGAACTGTGTGAAAATGTGTCTTTAAACAAGCTCTTCTGTTCAATAATACAAAACTGTAGGGAATTCTCCATCTTACAAGGTTACAAAAAAACATACAGTTTAAAACATGTTGGTAGAACCAGGATCCTGTTATTTTGGCACTGACTGGAACCCACAGGTCCAAGTCCTACAAAAGATAATCTTATGAGGCAGTCTTGCCCCAGAAGCCACCTAACCACCAATCATTAACATGAGCTTTGTTCCTTAGCTTTTGGACTCTGCTAGCTAATATGATAATATTTCTGATATATATCTTTAACAACTCTGTTTCTGGCAGATGCCTTTGCAATTTATTACTGTTTGATGACCATCACATGACACTCCTTTAAAAAAAGGTCACTTATTCCCCAGTTCCAACAAATATGTCTTTTACTGCAGATAGACACTTCTATGCTCATTCTACATTTTGTCTTACTGCATTTGATATGTTGATATGTCCTGCTTTTAAGTACTAGTTTTAAGAAGATCAATGCATAGCTTTATTTTTTTTTGTTCTTTACAAAGAACAGCACTCTTCTTTAGTGATCTAAGTGTATAAATTTTCCATATGTGTATGCTGCAGAAATATATATAAAAGAGATTGAGTCAAGTTATTATTGGAAAAAAATTACCTGAAGTATGTATAGTTCAATTCCAGAAAGGAAAAGCACTGTAAGACTCTTATCTGTAAGTTCCATTAATTTCAATGTTTGCTACCACGGTAATGCTAAAAGTGGAGCTTTTTCAAGTTCCAGTGCTCAGCTAAACTATCTCAGCATGAGCATATTTAAACCCAATTACTACATGCCATGGTTTACACTATTAATGTATAATCAATTTTAAAATATAAATAATTCTGCAGTACAGGCAAAACCATAGGCAGACTGTGTTCTAGATCAAACATACCACTTGAAGTGAACCTACTTATTTGGGTGCAGCTTAGAGCAGTTAGTGTATGGAAATGTGAATGGTCTCAATGATAGTATTAGAGACACCCATCCACATTTCAGTATTCTAGACAAACCTCTATAAGCATTATTCAGGTGAATGTTTTTTTAAAATCAGTCTTACTGCTTCAGTGACCACAGTCAGTTTAAAAGAGGTTTTGTCGTAACCCACGTCCCCCCCCCCCCCCC